AATTTAAATTAAGGACAGTTTGTATTATCTAAAGATTAAAAAATCAGATTAAGTAGGCGTTTATAGAGGTAAAATGCTAAGATAAACTTGATTTGTGTAGAATTTGAAGAAGATAAAACTTTTAAATTAACTAAAAATGCTTCTTAAAAGTAAAAAAAAAAAAAACACTATTTAGGTATAAAAAAGGGTGTGGTATTTCATCTAAGTTAAAAGTAAAATATAAAATTATAACGAAATAATAGGTTTAAAAATGTATAAAAATTAGTTAATTAATGTGTTTATGTATAAAATATTATAATATTTCTTAATAAAATACGTAAAGATTAAGCTTTGTGGACATACCTTTAACTCGCGATATACTCAGTTAAACTTATAAATATTTATATATATAGGGCGGGCCAAAAGTCAATTAACCATTACAAAGGTTTAATTATTGCCTTATTCAAATACTTATTATAAAAATTACTTGAAAAATAATATCCTTCTATTCATTGCACACGACTGGTTTACCTGACTTTTATGCTTCTCGTTGAAAAAATTGTTTAAAATTTTAAATTATTTCACATTAAAATCATTTTTATAACGTTTATAGATAATTTAAACAATAATAAAATAATACATAATTTAATTTTAAAGTAATAAATATGCAGAAAAGTCATAAAAATCGAAATTTAATAATAGTTTTCATCTTGTAGAAAGTTGGAAATAAATTGATAATTTCGATATTTATCTGACAATATTTTTTTGTTTAATAAATTAGAAAAATATGTAATAAATTATGCAAAAATTAATCAATTATTTTATTTTTTAAATGATAATTTTAAATGCATTCAGTAAGTAAATTGAAAGGTTTTTGTGGTTATTTTTCAGCAAGTTTAAACATAACTTATTTATCATAATGGCTAGTTTCGATAGTAAAAACATGTTCTTATATAATCTTAACCTTGATGTTACTGATTTATTACACAAGAGAATGTTTAAACCACTTTTTTTTTCCTCCCCCTTATTCTTTCTTCACTCGACTCTCTTAGGTTAATGTTCATCAATTAATTATCAATACGTGGGTTTATATGATAATTTATGGATTTTTTTCGATAATTATTTTATAAATATTCCGAAATTTTTAAATATTTTACATAATAAAAGAGTTATAAATTCATTTTCCTTTAGTTTTATCTTAATTAATTGATAATAATTAATGATAATTTATGTACAGAATTCGACTGTTATATAATGGAAAGTAGTAAGGAATAATCAGAGATTAAGATTGATAGAATGAATATAATTCTGTTTAGGGTATTATAAAGTGGTTTTAAATTTAACCGCCAGCTCTAAAATGTTAGACACGCAATGGTTAACTCTGTCACAGTACCTTAATTGTCACGAAAAGATCGAAGATTGAGCATTCCTCTCCCATCTTGCTATGTACGGTGCCTTTGTGTAAGTCGTAAATATCCCTTTTTTTCCCCCTTACTTCTACCCCTCTCTGATGTCGTAGAAGGTCTGTAGATGGACAATAGATTGATAATATTGGATGTTGAATTAAATAGTACATTTATCAAGCGTGCTACTACATAGAGAATTGTTATATAAATGGCACATGCTGCTTATAATTGTCACGATATCGTCGAATCTAAGACACTAAACAGGGATAGTCCCATTATTTAAGAGCTCGAATGCATTTTTCTAATCATTTTTTATATGTGATGAATGTTTTTTTTAGATTTTATACAAGTTTTTCCCCCTTAATTAATTTTTTTCTTATGATTCCTTCCGTCCTGAATCACGCTAGAGGATATTTTAATCCCTGTTCATCCATCTCCTCCCAATTAAATTTCAATAGAGTGTTTTCCCCCCTCTCTTATGAATTTTTAGGTATTTTTTATGCTTTTAGAGTCAAATTTTGTGGAAATTTTTCTTATTATTGTGTAGAAAATTATAAAATGTCAAGAATAATTTAGCTAATTAATTAATTAATTATCTTGGAAACTAAAATTCCTTTAATTAGCAATCCCTTGTTAATTAAAGGAGTTCACCCATTAAAAATATTAATTTTTAGGAAATTTTTGACAATTTTTTAAATAAAATTAACTAAAATTCATTTTTAAAAAAATACCCCAACATTCTAAAAATATATTTAAATTTCTCTAAAAAAAAATCCCTAAAAATTTGCATAATTTTAGGGTTTATTAAAAAAAATTTAAATACACTTCTTTAATTTAGAATTATTTTCAAGAATTTTTTAATTTAATAAATAAATAAATCAGAAGTAATGGGTGATAAGAATTTCGATATAATATGTTACTGAATAAAGAAAAATCCCTGAAATTTATCCTTAAAGATATACAGTAATTTTTTTCCTTCTCTGCTATAGTTTTATTATAGCAGAGAAAGAGAAAATTACTTACAATTTCAACATTTAAGAGCCAAAATTTTTAATAATTTCTCTTAAAAAAACACTGCTGTATAAATCTTCTAAAAATTTAAAATTTTTAGGGAATTTTCCCTACTCCGTAACAAATTACGTTTTATGTGTTTAATCGACAGAAATTTTTAACGATTTTTCTCTAAAAATATTCAAAACAATGTCTTTTAAAAATTTGCGGGAAAAAAAAAGCAAAATCTTCTACCACTTTTAGGGAAAAATAGGTAAAATTTTTAAGGATTTTTTTCCCCATTCAATCACAAGTTAAATCTAATAATAATCGAATAATATCTCGTGTTTTGTCAACAATAATTTTAAGCGATTTTTCCCTAAAAATCCTCAAGATAATCTCTAAAAAAAATAATAATAAATAAAGCCAAATTTTCTCTGAGAATTTAAATTTTTTTATATAAAAAAATTTGGTATTTTAGAGAATTTTCCCTATTCTAAATCCACATGAAAAACAGAAACTTTTAACGATTTCCCTAAAAACCGTCAAGATAATCGCTTTAAAAAAAATCTCTCGAAAACAAATTTCCCGAAGAACTGAAACTTTTTATTTAAATTTTTAGGGAATTTTCCCTAATCCATAACAAATTACAGACAGTTTCTTATCAGATATTCTATCAACAGCTCACATTCCACTTACAAAGATTTGTGGTCGATACAGGGTTAGATTTTTGGCACTTTTACAAACTATCGCTCAGGGTAATAAGGCATTAAAGGGGAAGAAAATATAAAATAATAATAATAATAATAATAATAATTCGTAAAAAGTAAGTTTTGACAGATTGAGAATGATTTATTTTCTTGAATGAACTAGATTATTAATCACCTATTTACCAATTGATTGATGATAGGTTTTAGCCCGAATGCTTTATAAAGGGGGGAACCATGCGCTTAAATTCATCATTTATAAGTGATTGTTCGTCAACTCTTCAAGCCAGAAAGATGAATAATAGGCCTTTATATCTTATTAAAATTCTTCCTGGATCCTCTCGAGTCCAGTTCCCAAAACAATGGAGGAAAATACTCCAAGTTTACTTGATAAATTCTTTAAAGGGAAAAAAAATATCACTCGACACACGTTCGTAAGTGAGTAAATATTGCTTTAAAAAATTATTTAGTGTGTGTTGGAACCTCCCGCTGATCCTAATTTGCAATTTATGATGAAGTTCATTTATCATATTACTTTAATTTATTTATTGAATATGCCATACTTTAGAGTTTTGTAGATCTGTTGTTCAGTGTAGGGGGGGAAAAGGGTTTCTGTAATGGTTATTTATGAATCAATGGGTTAAATCGAAGATTATAAATAATTTTTTAACTTGTTTCTTCGTTTACCCACATTTTTTTAAGGAGTAAATAAAAAATTTAGATTTAGTGTTCGCGATCTACTGGTTGGAAAATTACATAACATACATCTTCTAAAAATAAATTAACTATTTCGTATTATAATTAGAAATATATTATTTAATATTGTAATAATTGTATAGATTACGTTCGTTTATGAGTTAAGTTCTGTATTTTTTAATAAGATCTATAGGCCTCATCTAAATTACATTATCCGTATCAACCTTTATAAAGTTCTCTATTAAAAATTTGGATGAGAAAATTTATATTTTAATCACTCGTAAGGTAATTTAATATACGTTTTTGTATTATAATGACACATCCTGGAAAAGTTACGTTAATAAATTAAGATAAACTTTAAAAAGTTCTCACCAAATCCAGAATTACGTAGAGGAAGAGTTCATAGATCTTTTATAGGTCTTGTATACGTTGTAAATCTTATTTGTATGGCCTATTGAGAGTGATGTTAAATAGGACACATAATAAATCTTGTAGTAGAAAGCTTAGAATAGGATATATAATAAAAAATTTAAGACCTATATCTATATAAGTATACAGTGTGTGTACGAATCAAACATCCATATCATCCAAAAAATTGCTTAAATAAAAAGGGTATACTTCGTTATATAACTTGTAAAGATCCCGAATAATAGGCTTGTGTGTTATTTATATATAAAAGAATAAAATAAAGTCACTCAGATACTAACATAATGTGAAAATTTATTGACATTGTGACATTCTAATAATTTGATAAAGTGCGTTTTAATTTGAATACAGAATTCGTTTCGAGCGCGAATTATGAACAGAAAGAACAGTTCTAGAAACATATTTATATCCTCTTCGTAATGATATTCTACCTTTTTAAAAAAAATTCAGACATTTTAGCCTTTGTTTATCCAAATTTAAGTTGTTTGACGTTGGATCAATTCTGCTCAACTCAATACGAAAGCTGTGAATAAAAGTCTATAAGATATACAAGAGGATATATATATATATATTTTTTTTTCTAATCTCTGCAAAAGTATTGAATACTCTTGTATAAGTGAAATGAATCCAATCATCACTTCAAACACATTGCTTCTTCGGAGGAAAGGTAGCAGCATCTATACTTCACGAATCAACACATAATGGACGGATTCTTTCGTTAATTTACGTGATAAATTCGGCAAATATTTAGAAATATGTGGTTTAAATTGTGCTGTAAAATACGTTTAATTTCATATTTGCTTCGAAAGAAAACGTTTAAAATGTCTCTCGATAATGCTACACGCAGCAAGCTTTAAGAAATGAGAAAGGAAAAAGTCACTCGAGTTTATGAGTTTCTACTCGTTCGGGCTCCAAAAATCTCATATTTTTGCACGAGTCAGCGAGTTTTTTTTTAATGTTTTTGTTTTTTAAACTAATTTTTGATAATCTTTTACTTAAATTTTTTTCTTTTTTTCTTTTTGGTAGCTGAAGTCTCCATTAAAGACCAGAACCCTTTTATATAAGTTACGAAAAAAAAAAATGTCCTATGTAAGATTTATAAACCTTGTTAAACTATCCGATTCGNTTTTTTTCTTTTTGGTAGAACACGCTCTTTCTCTCTTCCTCATTCAGAAGATGGTGATGATTGTAGATGAGGTGATAATTGACGAGCGGGAGAAAAAGCAGAGTTTTCGCCTCCCATTTTCGGCAAATTTTCCATAGGTTTTGGTGCGAGAGGTTGACTAGATGGTGTTAGAGGTTCTGGTGACGGAGACGGGGGTGTGGAACTTGGTGACGGACTTGATACTCCGTTCATTGGTCTGAGCATGTTCATGCGTTGGTGACGTCTCCACTTCGCTCGTCTGTTAGAAAACCACACCTGTTTCAAATAACCAATAGGGGGATTGTGGAGCTGGTCATACAGTCACCTTAACCACAATCTTATCACCATACTCACCACACGTTACATTTTTCTTTACTTTCATGCAAACGACAACATGCATAATTTAAGGCCCTATCAATTAGGAGTATGATTTCTACTCGTTTAAATCTAAGTGAATAGGGATGAGATTCTTCCAAAATATATATATATTTTTCTTTTTTAATTTTTACCTGAATATCTAAGCTCTATCTTGAAGAAAACGTGCGTCAAACTACTATGATTTTCGTGTTTTTAAAAGCTAAAAATAAGTTAATTGAATTAATCATTTTTAATTAAATAAAGTTGTTTTAATGATAATTTATCTCATCCCTATCCACTTTTTTAATCTATTTAATTTATTAATTTAGAAGCAAAACTAGTTTTTAATTAACTAAAATCGTTAATTTTCACACACACAAACACTTTAAAAAAATTAATTAAAATTACGTTAAAAAAGTATAAATTAGATTTTTAAAAAGCATAAAAAGTCTTTAATTAAACTATTTTTTTGTAAAGAAATGGTCAAAATTTGGTTTGAAAAATAATAACAATGCTGATACTCACTTAAGCTTAAACCAGGTATCAGAATTGTTTAAGAGGATGCAACAGCTTAAATATATATTTTATGTTATATATCAAGTAATTTATATTAACAGCGATTATTAAAAAAGTTCAGTGAAGCTCCATATTCAAAATATTAAATTATATCATTCAAGAAAGCGAGCTGTAACGAAGGAAAGTGTATCAAAACTCATAAGAAAGAGGAAGAGAAGTATCAAAGTAAGAATGATTATTTTAAGGCTGATACTTTGAATTAATGTTTAAGCATTTAAAAGTAATCTGTAGTTCCTCAGTAACAAGATTTAGGAGCGTGTTAATAACTTATTACCCTTTGATACTGCTGAATGTTCTTTATGTAGAAGAGGGTGAAAGATGGGATTTATCCCTCATCCTCTTCTATGGAAAAAAAACCTTATCCTATATAAAGAATAGAGGGAGGGTACATCTCTCCGTTTACAAGAGGGAGAGTTGCTTTCTATAGATTTAAATATAACAATCGAGCGCTTCTGTATCATTTGATTATTAACAAGACGAAGATTAATTTGACCATTTCTTCGTTTAAGACAATATTTGGGCTATACAATAAATCTTTAATTTTCAATACAGAATTCTGTAGCAAAATCCGAAAAAAAAATTATCAAAATAAATTCGCGAATAACCCCATTAAAGAAGGTAAAAAAAAAAAAACAGATTATTATTACGAATAAACGAAGCCATAAATTATTTAAATCACCAACCTTGTATCATAACAATTAGCATAGAAAAATAAATAATTTATAAATTTATAATTACATTATAAATATGAAAAGTATACGAATTAATTTCCATAAATCATTCGATAAATTCGATTTTTTTTTCTTTAAAAGTACTAAAAAAGCGCACGAAACTTCCACCCTTCGTGTTCGTAATGCTACTTCGAGTCATTAGAAGTAATCATCTATCGATAGGGGAGGGAGTAAAATAAAAATAAAAAAGAAATATATATATATATATATATAAAAAAAAAGAAAATCAGCGACAGTTGCCAAACGTGGTTCCATTTCTGTCGTGAACGCCCACGCTACGACACATCACGCAATTCTGCTATTTGCTCGAACATTAAGTCGACAGGAAATGGGTGATCTACTCTAACGACTCGGAAAGGGGAGGAGGTTGTCGTCGTGTCACACTATGACTTCCCAGACCGCTTCGATCATTGGGTACGATAATCTCCTCCTACAGTTTCGTCGTCACGCCTCTCACAGAAACGAATTTATCATTCGTGACGAATTATAACTCATTCCCCCCTTCTGTTATACTCCCCCTTTCTGCTATACCTCTTGAAATTTTTTTTAAAAAAATTGTCACGTGTTTAAAGACTAGAAACGGCTGACCTAGTGTCTATCTCTATACCAACAATACCCTCATTTTTTTTATTTCTCGTGATAAATGATGTGATTCGACACTATAATGACTTGCGGTTGACAAAACGACAATTTTTATAAATGGTCCGAGTTATTGTAAATCCCAAAATAGTCTATTTTTTGAAGCATGCTAAATGTATATGTATATATATATTTTATTTATTTATTCAGTCATTATTTTTTTTTATAGAGGGATAAGCAAAGGAAACATGCCTTTACGTACCTGTACTCGTGCTTCTGATAGATTTGTTTTAGCTGCCAGACGTTCTCGTGTACTAACGCATGGATAATGAGTTTTTTCGAATTCTTCTTCAAGTACTTCTAATTGTTCGGGACTAAATGTAGTTCTGTTTCTACGAAATTTTGGTCTATCTCCGTTATCGGAACTTGTCCCTTCTTCGCTATCTTTGTCTACTGTAAAGAGAAGAAGAAACACGTGATTTTAATGACGTTGTATCGAGGTCGAGCATCTTTACGATTAAGAAACTCATTTGTAAATATTTTATAGAAGAAAAAATGGGTTAGACATTAATTAAGACACTTAATATGTCTCGATATGAAACGCTAAACACGGGGAGTTGCTAAAGGGGTGTTTATTCACTCGCAATTTAAGTTTAAATATCGAGGCCTAGAAGGTTATAAACTGAAAAACTGACATGTCTACTATGTCTATCATCGAAAATACCTTTATTTAGATTATAAATTTAGAAAATTTTACGTTATTTCTATTGTAAAACACGTCAGACTTAACACGTATCTTTAAATTTCTCTGTCAGTGATTCAATTGCCTAAATATAGCTAAATATTTTACCTATTAGAAAACCTATAAACTATATAAAGAGTTTGCCTTATGAGGTTCCTTATTGCTAATTAAATAATAAATTTTAAGGGATGAAAATATGCACCGGACACAGTAGAAATTACATAAGTGTTAAATATGTGATTAGACTAGGATCCTGTAAAGAAAATTTAAATAAATCCAGGATAAATTATACAAAATTTCGCATAAAATGAAATTTAAAAAACTCGATTCATTAAGAATAGAGCGAAAAAATATATATTGTATTTAAATTACTTTTACGCGCTATTTAATCGCTTTAGAAATATAACTAAATGGGAATATTAACTCTATATTACTCAATCTAACAATAATAATGCGAACTTAAACGTTTGCATCATTTCAAATGACAATTTAAAGCAATAAAAAAAAAAAAAAAAAAACATTCGCACACTCTAGTGATAACGAGGACCGAAATCAGGACTCATCTCTATGTTAAATACAACAAAAAATGGGAGTATAATGAGGTTAACAAAAAAAAAACGTTAAACAGCCAGACAAACGTACGTGCCATACAATAAAATTCGAATTTATTTATTCAAAAAATAGAAAATCGCGCAATTACGCTAGACCTTGCAGACGGAGGTTTTCGAGTCAAAGTTAGTATTGTAATTATCTTCCCATGCATGAATCCAATAGGAACAATAGAAGGTTCTATATACAACACAAGGTAATCATTATGCTGCGGAAACTTATTCGATGCGCCCAATCGTGATCGAGGAAGCTTTGTGTGGTACATTTGTTCAGCTGTATAGGCGCTCCACCCCTCACTCGTCGTAACCAATGGGCCCACACGATTCAGCTTGGTAACAAACACAATACAGGCTTTCATCACAGATCGAGCATGTGTAAACATGGTTTTTTGAATAGAACATTCGATGTGAATCCACTCCTTTATAGTGTTCATCATTTGGGAATTGTGACCTTCCTACTAAAAACTATTGTTCCTTTCGCTTGTTCTCTTCTTTTTTTTTAGGAGCGGAGAGTTAAAATATGATTCCGGATCGTTTATAATTTATATATATATACGTGATTATATAAATATAAAAAGGGGAAGTTTCGGTTTAGTTCCTGGTCTTTGTTACTGTAATAGCATTCTTTTAATAATTAGGCAATTAGCATAGTAAAGTAGTTTGAAAATTGAGTTATCAACTTTCTCTTTTATTGTCGTTGAAATGGTCATTTAAATAATTCTGCAGTTCGTTTATGATATTTATTAACGTTATATAGGGTTTAGGTACGATTTTTTTAACGTTTCTTAATACAAAAATACGATTTTGACAGCTCAAAATCAGTATTTTCTGCACGGGGTGATCGACACACCACAGGGTGTACAGTGATTTTTTTTTAATCACTGTGAACAAAAATCGTAATTTCTTTATTAAAAATAAAGACTTTTGTAGATACTTCTTGCAATGTTTTTGAAAGTTTCAATTGTATTTTCAAAAAAATCCATAAAAATCACAGTTAATTTTACAGAATTATTTTTAACGCTCGAGTGTATATATGATACGAAAAATATCGATTGGATCGATTAAAGAAGCAGAAAAAATCGTAGAAAGCGTGATTAAAACATCTACATCATGTGGGTATGTATCAGACTCGACTACAGACAGCCACGAAATGACTAATAATCATCCCTTCCCCCATTTTTCAAATGATACAATAAGTTACCATGGCGATAACGAAGATTCCCGTTCGATTTTGTTACAGTCGTTATTTAGTTATAAAGGCTGTGTTGCACTTTAGTCGATAGGCAGCTGCTTTATTATAGGCCCTCCCCAATAGCCTAGTTTTTGGTTGAATCCCTTAAATTATTCATATTTTGCCAAGTCGTTTCAGATGCAATTTATGGGGAAAAGCACAGATTAAGTATAAATATTAAAGAGATACTTCTTATTTTTATCAAAGTTTATATCTTTAAAGTGGTTTACTAAGTTACTGTAGGCTATCGGAATTAAATTTTTATCTTCTTGGGTCATTAAAATCCTTCCTCCTCCCGGGCATCAACCTGTATCCATCCAGATACGCGTGGTCGAATTGTAAATGGCCGCGTGGCGCGATGATTTTACTTTATATTATTTATTTATTTATTTTTTAAGAGTGAGGATGAGGAATTTTTGCTCTTACCGGATTGTCTGTGGTCACGGAGCGGCGTCATCACCGCTAAAGTTGCAGGATCGGGCGTTGCACCTGTAGGCAGTTGAGGCCCAGAGAACGGTGGCCACAGATGGGGCGTTGCTGCCGCTGCTGCTGCACCCCAAGGAAAAGCTGCTGCGTAAGGATGATACATTCCGTATCCTGCTGCTCGAGCAAATTCGGCAGCCGCCCTCTCGGCTGCTCGATTTCTTAGGATTCTATTGATAGAACTCACGCTCGGAGCCGTGCTGTTGGTGCATACACCTGAAAATAATTAAATATTTAACGTCATTAAGTGGTACCATCTTAAAAATCCAAACATAATAATCTATAATACACTTAATCTTCTAAATGGGAAGCCACACGCACAAAAATATCTGAATTCCATGCGAAAATCTCTCATGGACTCGTCAATATCAATTCGGGAAATTTTGCTTCGATCGTGTCTTATATGGTTAAGTGATATAGATTTTCGATATAAATTGAGTAAAAAGATACGATTATCACGTGATAATAAACCATTTAAGATTATTTTCAATAGTCTAAAATGATGAAATGATCCATTCATTGATGCGCTTCACATTCTAACAATAAGATCTTGCTTAGTTGATGAATCATTTTACAATAAGAAAAACATTACTAAATCATGTCAGAAGCAGAATTTCTACTATGGAATTATGAGAAGTGCTTAATAAAAAACGAATTCTAATGCGGACGAGTTTAAAAAAAGATCATAATTTGTCTACAAAGTTCTTTGTATCTGCATGGTTGAGGAATTCTGAAAGTGATCTTTGCAATGCGATTAAACATAATTTAAACGTGGTTTCTTTTAACTAAAATGGTACTTTAACCCTTCTACAACAAATAACTTCAGCTCATTAATAAAAAAAAATCAACATTAATAGATTTATTAACGGTTTATTTATAAAAAAGAAGAATATAATCTCAACGGTTCCATAAGCTCGATGCTAAAATACACGTCTAAACAGTGCGGTACTTTACTTGAAATTTTCAATAATTCTACAAGTAATAGGGTGATGTTAGTGAAAATACAAAATAAATATAGGCCTAGCATAGAAATTTAAATCAGAAAAACCCTATTTTAACTTCTCCCAAACCACATAGTTTAAGAGAAAAGTGTTTGCTCCAAACATAAATTCGACTTCTTAATAGTTCTTTACATACATATTTTCTAGCAACGTAACGTATGATTACGGGCATCACCTTATGCATGAGAATAGGGAAATTGCACAGGTAGAACGATGGAACTTCCGCTGGCTCGGTAGCCATTAGTGGCAATAATCGTGGATTATGTATACTGTGGGCGTTACTGGCACCCGTCAAACTACACAATAAACCGCCAGTTTTTTCACCTACTACGGCTCGGTTACCTCCTAGACTGGCACATGGCAGGCAAAGAGCTGTAGGCAACAAGTAATTACACCTACTTGCACAACTTCCTCCCCTCCAATAACTAAACTACGTGAATTTTTTGAAAGTTGTATTAAGGAGTTTTTGATCCGGATGCCATCCGAATGCTGCCAAAATCTTCTACCTCCTCCGCATGGATAAACATAATCACTAGTTTTGTAACCGCCAAGAAATTTGCTAGAGTTATCGTGTCCCGAGGATATCAGATGAGATATCTGTTTCTAGTTTAACAGGTGAAGTGGCCATTTGCAGGTGTTGAGCCTTGCTTTACAACTTAATATTGCGGTTATTATGGGATTGAGGTGCGGTTGCTGTCAACCGTACCAAGATAATCGCCGTTTTATTATTATTATACACATATATATGTTTTTTTTTCTAATCATTATCCAAAGATTTACTCTTCTAGAAATGGCACATTTAACCGTTTTTATTCCTTTTTTCGGAGGAATAAAGCTTTGATGAGGGGTGAGATTTAGATTTCTAACTTTTATTCATCTTATTATATGATTACAGTGTGTGAAAACTCTATTTTATTCTGATAACTTGACTCTAACAATGCTTCGCACGGGACTTAGATCCAAACTTAAAACTCTCCCCCCCCTTAATATAGATGCAGATCGATTCAATGAGTGGTTACGAATTCATAACCGTGTCAACCCTATAAATATTACCTCTTTGATTAATTATCTTAAAAGAAAACCTAGACACAAATGAATGACTCAGGGCAATCGACTGTCTGAACTCGCTTCTGTTGCCCTTCTTTAAACCTCTCCATCTTTTAACTGTCGAACAGAATTCAATCCTAGATAATATTCCTGCATAGATGATGATGATGATGATGATGATGACCTATGCCAACTTAGTAACCCTGCATTCTGTGGCTCTGACAAATATTTTAATCGCCTAATTACTCACCGAGTGCCGCGCGCAGAGATTAGAACCGCCGAACTAACCCCTCTCAGGCCTCCTCCCCTGTCTAATTTGTCATCGCCAAACGGCTTTCTTCCCTCGTGGCATGGCTTCGGGGCCCTATTCACATACCGCAAGTATTTGTCACCAGCAACAGACGAGAAGGGGGGGAGAGGGAGATCGAGCACCTCTAGTGCAACATGACTCCATTCTAACCGACTCGTCGATAGATATATATTATAATACTCATCGGAATACAAAATGTCGTATGTTATTATCTTAAAGACCTCGTTATTGCTTAAATTTATGCACGTAGACGTATTTTAATGTTTGTTATTTATGCAAACTGGCGTATAACTCAGACAGATATCACGACATTGCATTAACTTGCAGTGTGGTCTGTCTAACTAACTTTTCTTCTCCTTACAATTCTTTTATAATCTTTTTTTATCCCTATTCATTCGTTCGCTAGCATTTAAAATAAATAAATAAATAAATAAATACGCTTATTTATGCAAATTAGGCTATTTAAAAGACCCGTATTCTGCGAGCATTTAAATGAGATTCGGTTATTAACGGCACTAAAAATATCCCCTGTATTAACTTGTTAAAGAAGATAACCGAATTTCTCACGGATAACCTCATCCTCCTCCTCCTTCTCCTTCTTCCAGTTATCACACAATTGAAGGAAGTTAAATGAATAAGAGGATGATTAAAATTGGAGCCATTTTTAGACTTTTTTCTCTCCCCTTTTTTTTTGGGAGAATAACAATAGAGTAAACACAGGAAATTGCAAATACAAAGAAACACGATTAACTCCTTTGTCTACCTTCTTACTAGAAGGGTAGGAAAAAGCAGAAAGATCCTATACGCACGTGCGTTCAACTCGTGATGCCCCCCTTTTTTTTTATTAAATTCTATTCTTCTTTCTTTCTTTCCTAGTTAAAGGTGATGATATCAAAGATCGTTACGGTGTCTGGACAACGGAAACGTGTCTGAAAAGTTTGAAAATAGAAAATTTCAAAGAGGATTTCCGCAAATTACTGGTCACGCAATGTAAATAGTGAAAGATGTCGCGTGTCTTCAGTTTAGAGAATGGAATTAGTGGTGCGCAGGGAAATGATAGCTCCCAGGTGAAAAAGAATGGTCTACAACACTAAATGTTTCCGGTGTTTGGTGTACATTTTCTGGTTTTTATTGACGGATAATGTTCTACTTAAGAAATGCAATAACGTAATGCTTTAATAGAGGCAATGGAGTCTCTAATTTTACAGTCTGTAAAACAGTGTTTTTTGGGGGGAGGGGGAAGGTTAATTGTTTTTTCTTCTTGATTGCGAGTTAGAAAAATACATTTTTCATGTGTTTAGAAAAATAAAAGTCAAGTAAAATTATAATAAATTAGTAAAATAAAGCTTGAAAATTGAACCCTTTTTTTTACCATAAAAGGTTTCCTTTTTTTCCTATTAGTTTCTTCGGTTTTCCTGTTTTATTTTGAGTTTAAATACTATATTATTATCATCTTTAACACGTAAAATATTAAATATTGTGAATAGTTTAATGATAAAGTTTATCTAATCTTTCAAATTTTGCATAAATTGTAGCATTCTTACAGTTTTTTTTCGAAGATTCTTTTGGTTTCTCTTTATAAACGACCTCGAAAAACATTACTTTAATGCGTTTTTTGGCTTGTAAAATTTTTAAAAATTCAAAAAAAAGTTAAAAAATATCTCAATATAAACGTTAAAAAACACACACGCTTCTAAAAAAAATAAAAAACGATAAGAGAATCGCTTCTTAAACTAGCGATTTTCTTATCTCTCGCGCGGATCGGGTGTAAGAGAAAAAATTCCTGTAAAAAAATCCCCGAATTAATTTTAAATAATTGAGTTATTTTGTGGAAAAAAACAACGTTTAAATTCCTTCAATTTATTGATATTTTTTTTACAACTTCTAACCCTTCAAATTACAAGATTCATGAAGATCTCAATTTGCAATTATTCCACACGTCAGAAGTAGGTTACGGCCCATCCAACCTCCTTTGTGGATTACAAATGTGATGATTTCGTGTTAAGACATTGGGCCATTTACAAGTTAGCAACGTGATATCTAAATCCTTAAGAGCCTCTACAGTTAGTGAGTAGGAGAGAGAAGAGAGAGAGAGAGATCTGACCGCTTTGATAAGAGCCTGCGGGTGTACGTCTTGATTCTAAGACCTGACCTAGCCCATTACAAACTGCTATACATATAAAAAGGTCGAGCGTGAGCAATGATTATGTCTATCTAGCCCATTAGTAGATGACGGCAGCGAGCTGATGTTATCGTATTATCGCAGCCATGATGGTTAGCAATACGCATCGTTACATTTGCTACAGATTTAACATACTTTCTCGTTAATAGCCACTCGCAAATGGCTGATAACAAGTTATTTTTAAGTCGAGGGCAATTCGACGAGAATTTTCTGACGTTCCTTTCTAAATTTATTCGAAAAATTTCGGTTCCATTTAAAAAAAAATCCAACATGGCCCCACTCGAAGTGGTGCCGCTCTCACGCTTTCTAATGGAATTTTATACAGGAAAATATATTTTTCTATAATAAATTATACTCTTAGCATGTTAGATTATGATTTTATTTTGTTCTCAATGTCTTGTCATACTTTATAATAACTTCATGAGCATAATTTAACTCTGTTCTTACCTATGTTGCAAGTTCTTTTATATGTAACTTAAGCATTCCCTGTTAATTATGCTCTTAATTATATGTTCTTAACTATGTTTTAAGCTTGTTTCTTAGTAACTGAAAGTTCTAGTAGTGTTTCTTATTAAATTATGCTCTTAGACATGTTCTAAATTTGTTCTTTAGCAAATAACGATGTCCCATCATCGTTACTTACTTACAATTAATAAAGATGATCAAAGTTAAAGAAGAACACTTAATGTTGTATTCATAACTTAAATGATTTTATGTGTAATAAATTTACTAGAAGAAAAATTATCTCCCGAGTAAAAAGTCCCTTTAGGGAAATTCCTAAATATTAAAACATCCCCGAAGACTAGATTCATTACGCGAGTTTCATATCTTAAAAGAGGTCATAAATTAAGGTTTAAAGCAAATTTCAACGTTCGAAAGGTCAAAAAAAAAATCCTTCCAAAGTTAAAATTTTAATCTATTTTATTAAAAAAAACAGGGGTTTTTTTAAGAACGAAATTTAAGATTTTTGTTATCTTAACGAGGTTCAATTTTATTAATTTTCGTTCCTTTCTTAGTTAATAGGAAAGGAGAAGAGAAGAGAAGGAAAAAATGCTGTTTCGAGATATCTGATTAGAATTTGTACATTAGAAAAAGGCATAAAAGTAGCCGTCGGTCAGTCTAATGGCATTAAACAGGACCACTAATCAGTACAGCCTTGTATCTACGATTTGTCACTGTTAACATGCAATCCGTGTCGAGCTTCCGTGCACAGGATCAGATAGTCGAACCTCACCCCAGGCATTACGTGTCACTGACATTGCCCTGTCAAAGGTACCTTTACTAATGTTTGTTTATGGACAGTTTGCTTCACTGCACAGGGTCTAAGAAATGCAGAGGTGTTGGATAATTGAACGGACTTTATTATAAATATAGCTTAATGCCAAAGTCTTACGAAGAGTTTTAAAGAACGAGTGTATCAAAACAACTCATTAATTTAAGTTAAAAAAATTTGTGTTTCTAGTTTTGGGGAAAGGGGAAAGCTACAAATATATATATAAGTTTGTATAGGTTTAAAGTAGAAAAGGGGAGAAGAAGAAGAAAAAAAAAAACGAGTAGTCAAACGCGAAGATGGCCTTTAACACCTGCTGGCCAACCGCATTCTATAGAAAGTCTACATTCTTCTAATTAGAAGTCGGGAGGACCGAGGTTGGGCTTTTAGAAACGGCCATTAAAAAGACTTCTCCGTGACCACTTAAAATGTTATAAGGAGGTGAGCTACACGCAACACTCGCATAGGTCTTCGTATCGTTGAGAAAATTTATGGAGACCTTAGAGCTTCTAACGTTAATTAAGAGATTTCTTACTGTACAGACAGAAGTTAACGGAGCGAAAGGCAATCGTTCGTTTATAATTAACGATGCCCACTAACGAAGGAGAGACTATGTTAAGACACAGTTGCACCCCCGCCATACCTGAACACATCCGTATCCTTATACGTTAATCGCGTGTTTATACAGGAGGAATTTTTTTTTTTTTTTGTTTCAAAATTAGGACAATTACGACTAAATAAATTGCATTTTTAAAGAATTATAAATGAATTTTTGGAACTTATTGCCACACATAACGGTAAGTGCTGCTGTAGTGTAGTGTTGGAAATAATTCCAAGAAATTAGTTGTAGTACCTTCCTGTAGATCTATTATCGAAATTGTTTAAGTTATAAAGAAATCTTTTAAGATATTTATCGGCGTATATTTTGGTGATAAAGATCAGGAAAGATTGTAGATATATTCTTAATTTGTTTGTAGAATAAGAGAATAAAAATAATGAAAGAAGATTTGAATTATGCAACAGCAATTAGAATGCCATTTGGTGTATGTGTGGCCTCTCGTTTCGGTTCACAAATGATTTAACTTGTAGAAAAATTTCTTTCACGTACTTAAAATGCTATTTAGATCTTTATTCGAATAATTTTAATCATTTAAATATAATAATATATTCGAAATTCCTCTTTAAAAAGTTAGAAACTGTTCAACTTTATAAGCATTTGTTATACACATAAAAGTATCTCTTTTTTTATAAAAAAAATATTATATAAATATTAAAATTATTTAATTAATAGATTAAATAATGTTTAATCTATAAAATAACATAGAAAAAGCTTAAACTTAAACATACTCTCCAGCATTAAAGTAACGATTACAAATGAAGCAAATCATAATTTTTTCAACGAATTTTTAGCATTGTAAATATAATAAAATAGAAATTTATGAAGGTCTTACCTTCAGAAATGAGTCGTTCACGAATTTCCCAAGCGAATATGGTAGGATTTTCCCGTTTATACTGTTCGATCTTTGATACAACGACAGGAGTGGCAACTTTTGGTTTGCTTCCTCCGATGATTCCCGGTCGTAACGATCCAGTTTCATAATATCGACCTATTATATTTAATAATATTTGATTATTTCGTGTAAAGAAGATACAAAAATTTAATAAGATGAAAGAAAATTAACATTATATCGAGATTTGGAAGAGAAATTTAGAATTTAACAACTGTTATTTCAAGGTTAATGTGTTGGTAAGATCATTGGTACTAAAAATTTAATTGAAATTTAATGTAAATTTTTGTTAACAATCGCAAATTTCATTGGTTTTTATGGCATATTTTTTTTTTTAAGTCCCCGACATCATCATCATATACGAGAAAGTTAATTAAAAATGATATTGTTACACCGTACTTAATTGATGAACAACTTAGTTTTAATTACGAAAGAGGGGGGTCGAAGTAGAAAAATCTCCATAATCACACCTCTCGAACATGAATTAAAATTAGAAAAAATTTGATTCGCATCGTTTAATACAGTAGATATGAGAAAATTAAAGGGTTACTAAATGAGATTTCACTGTTAATTTCCTGAACATCTTAAGTGCTGGAACCTATTTCTTAGAGGGGTGATTTTTTTGGCTTCACGCGACTAATTTCGAAATGGATACGCCCATTCTAAATCCCCCTTCTAAATTCATCAACGGGGATTCTGTTATAACGTATAAAAAATACATAATAACGATATGTAAATCAGAATCCTTAGAAGAATCGTACAAGAGTACACAGTGATTAGAGATGAAGTGGAAAAAAAAAATTGCGAGTGGGTACACTAGACAACCGTTTTTATCCACCCCTTGGTACTGTTCTATGTGAAGTCATTAATTAGTTAGGCCTCTACGGTCTAACAGTGATAAGACAGCAAAAATTAACGAACTATGTGACTGCAGGGGATTGCTAGATACCAGTCTGCTTACTCACAACTCTATGATTAACATGGTTGCTGTGATCGGGAACGTGCAGATGGGAGGAAGTTTGGTATGTCAACGCAAAGTGAAGACAATGGAAGAGATTGGGACAATTTTTTTTTTTAATTTTATTTTTATATAATCTCTTTGCCACGTATCTCGGAGGGGTTAATTTTCGTACACGCGTCTACTCTTACTGGTAATTATCGCATTCTAGTATCGCTTACAACATACGTGACAGGTGCATTGCGCTATCTTTCTGGCATATTTTTTTTTTTTGAGCCTAACGGTATGAAATTTTTAGCATCTTTCGAGTGAAATCTCCCTCTCTGACAGATCGTTAAATGTACCTTTTGAAGAGAGGTTTTAAAGTAAATAGCTCAATGACGTTTGATAGCTAGCAGAGACATTATCTCGATACTGTATCTGTAAACAGTAAATCTGGTTCTAACAACGGTTACTTGTTCACGTCTACCTGGCCATTTGACGTATGTTAGAGTCGTGTTTGAAAATTTAAACATAGTTCTGTCACACGAAAGATAATTTGGCAGGTAGAAGAAAGTTAAACTGGTACCTAACAATGTTTAAGAATCTTAACTTTAGCGCTCGTTATACGGATTTTGGAGCCAAATAATATAAGTAAATGTAGCGTAACAATGTATAAATTTCGTATTTTTCTCTATATTGAGTCATAAAGTTGGGAGTAACTTACAGACATATCGTCAAAAGAAACTCGAACAACTAAACATAATCATCCATTGTTAGGTTCTTAAAGAAATGATAATATAAAAAAAAAAACAATTTTGAAAAATCCCTCTTCCTCTTCCTGAATCGAAATAATAATGTCCTAGAAAGAAAGATTACGTTTAAAATTTCAAATCTATTTTCTCTCGCTGTCAAAGTGAACGTATTAAGACCTGTTTAGTGACAATTTTCTCGCGCAATGAGCCGAAGAGTGCCCAATGGCACATTGAAGCAGTCAGGATCGTCCGTAATTTTAGGCTATCTTGGCCTTGGAGGGATCAGTATTCTGTTTCCCCTGAAGCAGGTGGCATCTAGTGTTCATCTCCACCCCTATCACCAGACGATTTCGGTGGTTGTCATACACTCGCCATTAATAGTAGACGTAACAGGTGGTTGAGTGGTTGATTTTGCTCCCTCGTCCACTTATTTTTTTTATTTTGTTTTTTTAGCAAAATTCTCACCATTATATCAAATATTCCTCTTATCTAATTCGAAGTGATTAAAGGGGGAGGGATACAATTTTTACTTATTTTCATACCAAAGTGAGCGATTTAAGATACACGATCCATTAAATATGCAAGAGGGTACTCGGAGGAATTTTTGCATTTAAATAAGGATTAAATGTAAAATTCTTCTTTAATTACATTAAGAAATATTTAAATGTATTTTAATGCGATTAAATGTGGCAAAATTTACGAAAATACTTCGTTATAACGTTTCATAAACTCGTTAAAAAATTGTCTAAATTAATGGTTGTACTTATTCTCATTTTATCAAAGGATCTAAACCGGTCTACTCAATTAGTATGAATTAATCGAATTAACATTGTGCAACTCGGATTTCAAGGTTACAGAACTTTAAATTCTTTATACAGAGGTTATTTTTATATTATTTTTATACATTAATACAACCTTGCAATGGCGAGCGAGCGCGCACACACACACATATACACGTTTTTTTTTTTTTTTCATTAGGCCTGCTCAATTATGAAATTACCTGAGGGTAACATAAAAAGGAATAATTGCTCGAGCATTTGGCTAAGCTTCAAGGATTCAATATTTATTTATAATACTATTGTTACTTGTTATAACAAAAATTATAGGCACGAAGATCTAAGAAGAAGGGGGAAACATCATAGAAACAAACGTAGAGGAGGAGGGTGATTTTTGGTATGATTTTTAGGGGTTTAATTGGTTCTATACTTACCAAGAATCTTGTTAACTGTCGTTTGAGATGATAGAAGATGCCGTGCAAAATCGTAAGGCCTCAAACCGTAAGGCGAAAAATCAGGAAGGATCCTCGGAGGAGGGGGTGGCAACGAATCTCCTAATCTCGAATTTAAATATAAAGGGCTCAGGCTACCTAAATTTTAAAGAAAATTTTAACATTTTAAAGCCTATATATATATATCAAATTTTTTAAAAAAAAATTATTTAATTAATTATCAGAACAAGTAGAAAAATAAAATAAAAATTAAACAGTTTTATGACCATCCTCGATAGTAATCTATAGTTTATCTTTGGTAAGATTTAATGAGAATGTAACATAGAAGAAATTTTGGAATTTTATCGCTTTCATTGTTATTGCTTTCAGTAAATAAAATATGAAGTCTACGCCCTTCCACTACAATAAACAATGGCTACAACAATGATGAATTGGAAGAAAGGAATCGAAAGTGAAGTGACTAAACCGACGACAGATAAGACAATGAACCGATATTGGACTTAATTAATTAAATCTCATCTTGTTTAGTTTTATTGATTCTTTACTGAGTTAAATCAAAACGGTTGACTAACTTTTGTATTAAACTTTGCCTTCCCCTTCTTCACTTCATTGAATAACAATATCGGCTTTGAAGCGTGGACGAAGTTAGAACTACTAAAATTTCACCTTATAATTACTTCGTTCGATTGAAAAGGGTTTATTTAATTCGAGTCAATGATTTTTACACTTAGAAATTTAAGATTTTAGCAATTTTTTTTGGATAATTTATCATCTGACAGTCATTTCTTCCCTCTAAAACTCTCCTCAAGATATTACAGAAGAGCAATTATGGCTTTTTTAATAGTTTTATACAGAGGATTTACCTTTGTTTGGGGATATTTTACTACCTTTTCACCTCTATAAATGTTTCACTAACCTTTATAATCTCGATAGTAGGCCTATATATTTATAAATTGAATTTTACACTTGTGTACCTTTTTCTTAATGATGAATTATTAGTAAATTTGATAGATCTTAAGGAAGGTTCCTAGATTTATACTTCGAAATTTTATGTTTACGTGTTTCTGGATCCGTTCCTCCTCACAAAATTTTAAAATATCGTGAAGACCCGTACTAAATTTTAAAAATTTTATAAAATCCACCCAATCTCTTCACCTCTAATCATCTCGTAGAGCTTCTAAATCATCTTCACTACCGTAAAAGTCTATAAATATATATATATATAAAACACTAAAATCGGCTCCTTTGGCTAAAGGCCTAAAGAGGGGTGAACTTAATTATCGAAGCCTCTTAAGGCCTTTGGGTATAACAACCCCTCTTCTTCACTCGCTGACGGAATCTCCATTTTTTAAACCTATAATAAGCCATGGGTTATTTTTACCATTTGCAAAATAGAAAATCCGATAGAAACTGGCTTAGAAGAGATTCCAATTATAATACTAGAAAGAATTAAATGTATTGAAAATGCTCAAAAAATCTTGACGTTTGTATTCCCCTTCCGCATCCTTAGTTCGTACCTTGAAGGCAAGATAGGATCCAGTTTGAGGAAACAAAGAAAAAATAACCTTCGAGTGAATACTTTGTCGTGGATTTCTTTAATTTCTGAATGGTTTTTTTAGGTTATTTTGCTTCTTTTTTTTGAATTACAAAAGATTACAACGAGCTGTTAAGGATATCCGTTCGAGTAATAACCGGATATCTCAAATCAAAATAATTATTACGTTAACGAAAAGAGATTTGTCTAACTCTCTCAATATCAAAATTAATATAATTATACACTAATTAGTACGCTTTGAATTGCACATATTGATTCTTTAATCCCTCTTTTTCTTAAATCCCAAAGAAGTGATCAAGATTCTCTTTATACTTCGGGGATCATTTCCATAAAATTCTCTTAACCTTGACGCGTTAAAACTTCCATTACAAATACTTCTAAAAACATCTAGACGAGTGTAAGGATGCCTGTCCGAACCCTCGGGTCGTATGTTTGCCCTATGATTAGGCAACATATCCATAGTTGTCGTGCCATGATAGGAGAGGGTTGTGAAAGTATTCTCTCTCACGCGACGACATTTTTGGTCTGTGGATAAGAGGCCTTAACTCGAAAAGATTACAAGATCCCATGTTGAATCCGATGATATTTCTTAATATCTCATCAATTTTATTAGCTTTTCTGTTGTTCTTCTTCGTACTAGTAGAAGTTTCTCTAATTCTACTTTCTGCAGTGAAAAATTGCGTGATAACAACGTATAGAGAATACAAAAGGAATGTCAATACGCCCATCCCCAAAGCATTGTTTGAATCTTTGATTCGCGGGGCCATCGCATGCGAATTGCTTACGTTGCAAGATTGTGACCGCTTCCATTTGCATACGTTCCCCCTGTCTACAGGTAATCATTACTTACATTAAAATAGTACTTTCGACAGTTTGCAGCTCGATTCTTATGTAATTACTTAACGTGAATTTGATAACACTCGATGGAATTTATAAAATTTGACGTCAATGGATAAACCAAGTGAATCTTTAAAGCCACAAACTACCCAATTATTAATTGCTATCGGGGTGTTAGGTCGTATATACCAGATATTCTATTTATTTGTATTTAAACAGACAGATGTGACGGAATGAAGTACCCAATACTCTTGTAGTTTAGAAGAGTAGAAGTCATCATTATATTTAAATGATGGGGACAAGACCACCCCCGGGACTAAAGATCTCTTAGGAAGATTACGCCATGACTGCATAGTCTAGAAAGGATTAATGGTGCAATTGCAAGAGCCAAACCCTATTTTGCCCTCACTTAAAAGCCTCCGGAAATCAAAGAGTGGAGTTTTTTTATATATATTTTTCTGTCTGTTCATCCTTACGTAATATCTAACCTGTTGATAATGCTGATATTACAGTAGTTAAAGATGTTTGAATGGTACATTTCCGAAGTCTAGTCGTCTTCTTCTGAATGATGATGCTCACGCGAGACGTTTGAAGATGAGGATGAAAAATAATAATAAGAAAAAAAAACATATATATTTCTATTATAAAAACTATCTGTAAGATATATATATATCTTTAAAATCTGATAGGGAAATAGTCTGAAAATTATTATGATAACATTAAATTAATAGCGAAGAATTTATTTTTATACATTTATGAAACTCGTTTCTGTTAGTCTTTATCGTAATTTAACTCTTTTAAATTTTAATTTGTAAATTTTTAATGGTTAAAAATAAGTTTTTCTTTTAATTAAAACGTTTCGTTTTATATATATATATTTTTAAATTAAGATTTTGTTTATTAATTCCTTCCTTAAGTGTCAAAATCGTGTGGATGAAAGCAATCGATATCTGTATTAATCAAGATCATTATAGAGGTATAGAGAAAAAGAGCTGTTGTTCGAAACACGAAATCAAGAAAGAAGACGGGACAACGACCTCGATCTAATTGAAGGTGTATAGCAGGAGACAGAAGAAAAAACAGCACTCATCGTGGAAGGGAAGACAACAAGAGGACGGGCCGTGGATTTGTAATTACAGACCTAATCAAGAACGAAGGAAGAATGTCACAAAAACCATCGGACTACATGAACTCAACAAACCAGTGGTTCCTGTGACGAGATGGAACCCCCCTCTTGCATCGTGCTCCGAGTACAAACACATACAAGAGATTCACTTCACTCTTACAAATGGTGTTTCGAGTATAAACAATCGCTAGCCTTGGGTCAGATTGAAAGCACGATAGATCAATTGCTCTTTATACAGTTCGATTGTCTTTAAAGTCTCTATTTGATTAAGCTATTAAGGAAATTCGAACAATAATCCAGTTGGGAATTTATTACGACGATACACCAAAAGAAAGAGAAAGAAAGGAAAAAAAATCGTAGTAGGAAAACAATCGGTGTCGTGTACGGGTATTGTTACGTTTAAATATTAAATTAATTCGAACGTTTCGTAGCCCGAGGCAATAGAATTTTACTAGTTTGAAAATTCTTACAATTGTTAAGGTATACAATTTATTTAGAGTTTTATAGCGAGTGAAGGATTGTCGCTTATCGCATTGGAAGCTACTCTAAAGTATGGTGGTTACAAATTAAGTTCATGTAAGTCATAAACTGCCTTACGAATCTTCGGAAGCTAACGACATGATTGTTTAACGGCTGGGATCGAGAGACACAACTGGGGCCGGATGGGATTCCGGCGCCGATGCTAGACTCGGACCGAGTTTTATAGATCTTTGATACAACTGTGCCGAAACCAGTTTCCAAAACTCCTCGCTCGCCCCTGTAATTAAGAACTAGTACGGACTAGCCAGTGCTGAGCAGACTGTGTGCTGCATCTAGTCATTGATTAAAGGGTTTTAGAGATAAGATTCTGCTCTTGCTTTTAGCATTTATGCCAGTCTGTGTAGCTTTCCCCCTCCTCCCTTCTAAATCTAGGACCTCTTCTACCTCTCTAACGAGTCGAGGGACGTATAAAACACATACTGCACCTAGTGATTCCTACGTGAGAAGTCGAGAACAGTGAGTCACTTTTATAACTTAGTGTTTAATTAAAAATTTGTATTGTGACGCGGATCATAAACTGCTCTTTGTAACATTACTCGTGGATTAAAAATGTATGAGCACACTCGTAGGTCAGTAGGCGAATGCGATATCAACAAAAAGAATCGACAAGGACGTGATAATTAGGACGATTGAAGCTTTCACTATCAAGGACGATGTAAGAGGGTAACCTTGCACCCAACTATTGTTAATGTGAACAAACCGACTGCACCTATTCCCGATCGGAAAAGGTAGATAACAACACATGATCAACCATTCGACAAACTTCTATTCATTCTCACCTCCGGCTTAAGATCTCTAACGTTAAACTTAATTGCCAACTCAAGAAATAGTTATTTAACAATCCAAACAGTTCTAAGAATTATAAAATTCGTTTATTATTCCATAACTTCTTGACTATTTCGTGAGTAACAAGGTCGAGTTTTCATTATAATATATATATATATATATAATTTTTTACAAGTAAAGTTATTAGCGTAAAGCCGGTATAATGACTATCTAAACAATCTAAAAGTCTATCTCTTGACGCCATTCTGACTTTTTGAAGATGGATGGGATGGAACCGAAAAAGTGAAACTGGATTAATTATGCGAGCTTGTCCGCCATCCAGGCGACATAAGGTGAATTAAGACCACCGAGTTGACCGACAACTAGGACAAAGTAGAATGATTAGTAGCTTATACATCTATCACTATTAAAAACTGTTTTTTAAAATAATAGAAAAGTAATTATTTTATGCATAATAAGTATCAGTTCGACTATTTTTTCCTTACATTTTCCCCCTTTTTTTTTTGCGTGTCTCTCTCTCTCTCTATCTATCTATCTCTAGTGTCTGTTAGCCATCTTTTCAACTTCATCTCGGATGAATTTGTTTCCGTTAAGGGATGCGAATGGGACAATGACCTACTGAACATACCATAATAAGATGTGACAGTTTGGACGTGGACCTCCTACTGGGAAGTCGATTTTGGTTAAGTTGGCCACACCCTCAGAACGTCATCCGATGACGTTTGAGAAACGGATAACAGCCTTCGGCCCCCTTGACGTCTTATTGAGCTGTAAAATAGACAGGAAATTTCTATTGTTGTTGTGTTTTTATGATAAATACGGCATTCGACATTTTTTCCGTTTTATTATAAGCTTATATTTAAAACCCCCGAAAACTCGACACTAACGTTTAAATCAATTAAACGTTAACGTTCTTTCTACATCATTGTGTTACGGCTGCAACAATTTAATTCATAGCAATGACTTGTAGTGGGTTAATTAACTTAAACATTAACCTGATTTTTCAACATTTTCATGTGAAGAAAAATGCTATTGTTCTAATGATACTCGTATCTCCGGCTTCTGAAATTGTCCCAGTGTATATAAAGCTTTAATAGAATAAATGTATGAAAAATTAATACATAAATATTAATTATTTCTGCCAAATACAACTCGTATTTACTCTTTTCTCGAATGAGTCACACCCAAGAAAAATCTGTTTAAAGGTACATAAAAATATTCATTTTTTAATGCGTTAATTTCAGAAAAATAAATTCTATTTCGAATGGAATTTGTCGTTGGTTTGTTTAGAAACACTTTAACGAAAATCGATGTAGAATTTTAATAATAAATAAGGAACGATTATCGAGTAGAGTGAAAAATTAGACCCGCTCCTCATGAATTATCAAATAAGTTTGTTAGGTTTTTTTTTTGTTTTCATGTATATAAGTAACGTTTCATTTATTATTTTGTAACTTAGAAAAGTTTCAACGTTCGTGCCTGTATATATGATAGATCTAATGCTTAGAACTCGCACACTGTAGGCATACATTTTAACAATTCATGCGATTGTATAAATTCTAGAAGGTCGCTTTTATTGTCCTATTTATTCAATATTATTCCCCCTTTTTTTGTAAATTTTAAAGACCTAATTAAAAGTTTAAAGTGTAAAATTGATGCGAATACAAGTCGACCCCCCCTATAACACTGTTGATTATTCCGTTTTATATAAATTCCATGTTGTACGAGTCACTTAGATTTTACAAATACGTGTGCCGGGCTGTGAACAGCTCACGTATTTGTAAAATCTAAGTGACTCGTACAACATGGAATTCATATAAAACGGAAAAATCAACAGTGTTATAGGGGGGTCGACTGTATTTTCGATAATACTTTAAATACTTAAAGGTTTAATTTCGTTATAATTTTATATAGACTCCAATTTAAAACTAGTTTTAAAAAAATAAAGAGAGAGAGAGAGAGAGAGAGACCTTTAAAGTGATTTAAATTATTAATAAATGTGTATATAATTGTATTCTTGTCATAACTCATTGACAAACAAACAATCAAAATTCCAAGAAGAATTAAAATCTTTACTCCCCCCTTTTTATTTATTTATTTTTTTTAAACGTCAAACTGATCGCATTTACATACAATTCTCACAAACAAACTTGATTTAAATACTGTTAAAGTATATTAAAAGTTGAAGAAAAGTATTAATAAATTATTTAAAAAGAAAAAAAAATTTAAATAAATAATAAATTATCCAATAGTCTAAACTAATTTTATTATAACTGATTGTTTAAACTATACAAAATTATAACTATTCATTGTTAATCTATATATTTGTATGTGATCATTTGTAAAACGAGCGAAGAGGTATTTTTAAAATTAATCATTTGCTAGTGGAGTGTCTAGAAACAATTTTGCTTTTCTTTACACTTCTGTAGAAAGTAAGAATAATAGCAATTACAGGTAAAAATTGCTAGAGGGCTAGAAAAGTAAAAACAAATCGTTCTAGTAAAAAGCGATGCTCAACTGTATAGGCCTAAGGCATTCAATATAGGCCTTAAGGCATTCGACTTTAAAAAAAAAAGAGGTTTAATTTTTATTCGTAGACATTTTTCATATCAATAATAATAATTTCTGATAAGGTTAATATTAAAATTCCGATGATCGAAGAGGTTTTTTTATGTCTTTAAATTTATTTTATAAAAATTAACATTTTCCTCTACAACAATTGAGTTATTATTTGTAATTGTTTACAAAGAAAATTGTTAAATTCTACAATTTATAAGTGATTTTTTGTGTATTTAACTCTTAGTTTATTTATAAAGTGTGTATAATTCAGGTGAATAAACACTAAACGGTAAGATTTCGATAAGGACTTAAATAACACATAAACGACTAGTTATATTTAAATGTCGTGCACATAAAGAATTAATAAGGAATTAAAAATTTACGAGAAAGGTTTAATTACTTTAGAACAATTCCCAAAAGTCCGTGATCAAAAGGGGAACCGAAGTCAGAAGCGTTATCGATTAAACGGATGAATTATTAATGGCAAAGAGTAGCTTAAATATTATTTAAATGGGGTGTTAGAGTTAGAGAAGAAACTTACCTGGTAGAAGCCCCGTAGAGACGTTGCAGGAGAAGGAGGGTGAATCATTGGCTAACATTTCGGGTGGTCTTTGAGGAGATACGGTAGTGGGAGCAGCTGCGTGAGGAAAGTGTACCATGGCCGGAATGGGAGCAGCCGGTGTTCCTCCAACAGAGGGAACAGTCGATACAGGACCCGCCGACGAAGTGTACGATAGTCCTATATTTGGACGAAGTTGATCGGCCGGTGAGCTGGGACGTTTCGGGACGCTCAAGTCCATCAAAATTCTCCTATTGGGGTTTCTCTCCTTTACCTTGACGGCCAGGTAGGACAAGGGTTGTGCCTCATACCACCCCTGCCTGCCACGATCTCTGATAGATCTTTAGACTCGGAGTCCTATACGAAGAAGAATAAAGTGCAACTGTCAGTAGACGTGCGGTGTTAATTTTCATCAGCGATTAGACTTAAGTACTCGACGATCATTGGCTTTTGCCATGGAGTAGACTAGCGAGTAGGAAAAGTCGCGCTGATGATCCGAGTCTCTGTGACTGGAGATTTAGAGCAAGCACAAGTCGAGCTTGCTTGCCCTGCGGGTTACATCTCACCGCTCTACCTACTACTGGCTGTGTGCGTGTTTGCGTGTCTGACATATGCTGACGACGTGCGACCGCTGAGCGGTACCAGTTAGTTGTCGGACCGCCACTTAACCCGAAATATCCTTCTGTGTTTCACCTGTTGAATTAAATAATGGAGGAATAGCGTTATAACGGGGTACCCGCTTACTATAACTCCCAAACATTTATCTCGTCCCCTTCCACGCTTGATTAATGTCGGGTGTGCTTCTTTCCTATTATTCCTACTTACTAATTGAACTCTCGCGCTTCCATTAAGTAAGACGACCTTTTAAATATGCACATTCTAATTTTAAATCGTTTCGTATTATACCATTTACTAAATTTCTATCGATTTTTCTACGGTTTTTTCATGAATATTTAATTGCACAAATTAAAACCATCCAATCGTTATTATGCAATTGATATCGATAATTGCATTCTCGTACCTAATAAAATAATATTTTTCCTTTATTAATTTTGATGTAATTTAATTATTTTAATTTCATTTTATATCAAATTTTATCATATTATTATTATTATTATTTTATTAGGAACCACAAATTTTCGTGCTCTAAATTACGATGATGCTAAACAAAATTCCAGATGATAAAATAACATTTTAACTCAATTAAACGTGTATTTTAACCTTATAGAAAAATTAATAAACTGATTCTTATCTAACTTTAACCTTTAGAACAATAAAAAAAAAACACGCGATCGAATCTACGATAAGATTTAATTTCTCTACTGCTTATTTGTCACCTAAAATGCTAATTCTAACGTGCAATTTTAACCTTCCTAAACACAATTAAATCATCGATCGATAGAAAACATAGGAAATGATTTTTAAACTTTCTTTTCCTATCACCGAGGACAATCTAAACAGGATCCTTAGGGCATAAAATAATTATCTAAACCTCCAACTTATGAGTAAACATAGGAACAATCTCCCTACAGGCCTACGGACGGATCTTTATTGCATTTAACTCACCTTTCTTCTAACTCGAAACTTATATTAATCGATAATTCTTCAATTAATTAAAGAAATTAAGAATACAATTAACTCTTCTACGAAAGATAAATGTGATAATTAATTACTTTTTTTTGTTTTTAATGATTATAAAGCGAATCGATTCTCGTCGTTCCATTAATGAGTTTCATATTGTTTGGAACGTAGTCAAAGTTTATGATTCTTAATTGTAATTAAAGTAAGAAATATCTAGAATAATCGGGGGGAAGGAAAAAAAGTATGCACGCAATGAAAACATTGGAACAACAATAATTATTTTGTTACCATTAACTTATCGCTTGGGGCATTCGAATGCTTCCCTTTTGTTGCATTCATATGTTAAATAACTCACTATAAAAGAATATATACAGAATGCAAATATTGAGATGTAGATGAGTAATTACTTATAATGGAATTTAGACTCTTAGAATTACCTTTGTAACAATATCTTTTGCTTCAATAGCAACAAAAAATCATCCGAAAAAAAAACATTAAAATGTCAGTTCAACTTACGAGATAATCGTGATTGCGTTATTTAAATTTTTATGATAGCATTTTTCTTTGACATTTATGCCTTTAATTATGATGTTTTCCACTGAATTAAAAACGATTCTTGAATTTTAATTACTTTAAATTGTTAGAACTAATGGCATTAATTTCATTAATTTTGATTAATCTTCTTCTCTCTTCGGAGACATAAATTCGGTTCTTTGCTTAATTTATTCGCTATTTTTTATATATATTTATTAATTATATTTTATTTAGTTTATTTTAAAATGTTTTTAGTTTAGTTTTATAGGTTTTTTTTTAAATTTTTATCCATAAAATCCGATTTTAAGTGATGCTACTTTAGGAGATGATGCGGAGGAGTTAGCATCGATTTCTAAAGTTGCATCTCTTCTAGCTTCTATTAAATTCTAAATATCTCTAAAAAATTATACTTTTTAAAGCTTATTTTAAGAAATTTAACTTATAAAACCCTTTCCTTTTNAAAGTTGCATCTCTTCTAGCTTCTATTAAATTCTAAATATCTCTAAAAAATTATACTTTTTAAAGCTTATTTTAAGAAATTTAACTTATAAAACCTTTTCCTTTTATCTCTCGAAGGAATAATTGTTTATAAATTCGCTCGTAATTAAAATATATGTGTATGTATGAGAAGATTTATGAAGGTATTTTTTTATAAAATTCTAAAATAATAATAACCTGAAATTCTAGAATATCTCATTAATTTTAATTTTAATAAATTGAAATTACCGTATAACCAATTAATTTATCAATCGCGTGCCTTTCAAATGATGAAAAATTCCCCCCCCAAAAAAAGGGGTAGATAATGACGATGATAATGATTCTATTGTTCAATAAACAATCTATCAACTCTTGTTAATATTTTAGAAAATATTTTAATGTTATTTTACCAAAATTTTTGCATTAAAAAACCTATACGAAAGTCATTTTCTTATTAAGTTTTTTTTTTTATTTATAACATTACAAATGAACTACAACAATTATACTTTATGTACTGTACGAACATCGACGAAAGTTTAGAGGTTTTAACCTCCAAAAAATACACTCATAACGGATAAAATTAACCATTTCTTTTTCTTTTTTTTTTAGTTACTTTCCCACAGGATCCAATAACGTTATGCTCTGTTAAATTTAAAGCGAACGCCGCCGAACACCTGTCAAATTGTTGCAGTTACAGTATTAATTCTAGAGAAAAAAAAAATTCTCTAGAAAACTCTGTATATAAACCAGATTAAATGTTGAAAATTTGGAGTTTTAACGTCCTTGTTACCACACCTAATCTGCAATAATATACGTCAGGCCCTGATCTACGTTCGTTTCTACTAATTGGTATAGTTTATCTTAAAGGCTTGGGGGCCTTAAAAATTCTAAAGCTAATAATTTTTCATTCTTGATTGGGTCTATAAATTGGTCGAAAGTTTAGATCGATTGACAAAAAAGAAAAAAAAAAAAAAACAAAACTGCTTTTATCAGTAGACCTATTAGTTGAAATGGTTTTTACGTTTTTATTAATTGCCTATTTTCAATGATTCGAGTAATTCCTTTAAAGATTTTATATGATGTTAACCTTGTTTAATCTATTTTATGAATGGGAATTGTAAAATATGTCATTTAAATGTCGTTCACGAAGCGAAATTTCCGGTAATTTTTTTTTCTTTTTTAAAAACTTCTTCCTTTAAAACTAAGCTTTAACAACAATTTAAGGCTTTATACAAGCCTTAATTACGTTTAAACTTTTGTTATATTAATTTAAAATTATATAATTTTATGTCTTAATTCGATTTAAGTTAGGATTTTAAATGTGTTTAAGGCTACGTTAAGGATTAATTATTGTTTAAATATATTTGATTTGGTCGTAGCCTTAAAAAGATCATTCATTCGTAGCCTTAATAATAACTTCAGGCAATAATTTTTAATTGCGGAATTTTATTTTTTTAACACATTTAAAACTCGTTCGAATTTTTAATTACGTTACTGAAGATTTATGTGATTTTAATTGTAATTAATATTACCTTTACTCATTAAATTAAATTCGACTGACCTTTAGAATTAATAAATCAAGTTATTTTTTATTTATTATTGTTATTATATAAACATTTTTAATGTTTCATTTGACTATTTAAATCTATTTTTAATTATAATTTATTATTTAAAATCAAAAATTATATTACATTAGGTTATTTTTAAATGATACAAATTGTATAAAATAATATAAAATAAAACATTTGTAGGTTAATTAAGCATTAGAAATAGGCCTATAAGGTTATTCTATGATAAGTTTTACGCCTCGTACGAGTAAAATATTCGGTTAAATTATAAAAAAAATTAATT